TATATATATATATATATATATATACTCACTTTCGTGAAATATATTCAGTATCTGGAATTAATAATTACCTCTCTGTGATAGAAATGAGTTATTAGATGCGTTTCGAATTACATATGAAGCACATATCATTTTATCCTTCTTTATTCTTCGTTGAACAACAAGGATAAATGATGCATCATGTACTTTCTGCGTAATTCGGAACACATCCAGAATAACTTAATTACTAAATCTCTATTAATTTTTATAGGATGTAATCAGGTGTTCTCCGTTATACTCGTTTTTATATTTTGATATATTCAACTGTATGTTACATATCATCGATATGTATTTCAGAAACATCTGATATACGTTTGTATATTCGCAAATTATATTTATTGCTGGTCCGCAAACGAAATCATGCTCAACTCTTAAGATAAATAACACTGCCTAACTGGCTCCTTCCACTTAACCAAATCTTATTGAATAAATTATATATAATAATGCAGGCTAGGCAGCGTGTAAATAACTGCTTGTGTTCTGTAATCTATTCTCTTACATTCTAGATAGATATTATAACATTACAACATAAAACAAACGCAATATTAATTACAATTATGTGGAACGTATAGCACACAAAACGTCAATTTATGTTGTCCATCGACAAGATTATCAATCGCTCTGAAACCTATCATTCTATCGTCGTATGATTACAGAAATTATAAACTGCTCTCTAAATTGCTGTTAGATATGTATATGTGTGTATGTATGTATATTATAAATGTGACTTGGTTAACTGAAATCGATAGTATTATTGAGCCCAACTATTTGGAATGATTATATTTAAATCAAGTAATAAAAATCAATAGAAGCGTGTACCAATTGAGGGTGCGACTGAAATATCCTTCTCAGACACACACTTTATTATAGCGCAAAAATATCGATGAATTTTTTTTATATAGACATATACTTCTTCAAATTTCCCGATTATAAAAGATAGGAAACAATAGAAATAAAATTACGAAAGTATAATACTTATAAAAAAATCGTTTCCTATTTTGTAATCTATTGCTTCACTTTTTGTATTTCAAGAAATATGCTCGGAAATATGTCGCTTCCCATCGTTTTCTTATATTGTCAATTAAAAGGATTCATTTGTTATATTTGAAATACGTCAGAAATCTTATAATAACTTATTTATCTTTATAATTTTGATAGAATATATTAAGGAATAATTTTTATTAAAATTTTTTTTTGTAATCAATTGTGTAATCATTAAGAGGAATATGAAAGTATCTCATCATACAATAGAGAAAAAAATTATTCACCATGCATCAACAATAGATTCAAAACATATCTTATCGTAAAATTATAACAGAAAATATTTTATAATTTATTATAAATTTTCAATGACAAAAACGAATGCAGATTTTCTATCATTATTATATTACGATTAAAAATTTATTGTTATTTATCATACATGATTTATCATCATGATACATACATTATTCAAAAATATATTTTATCGTGAAGTTACGGAAAGTACACGAGACGTAGTGAAGTTCTATTTATCATAAATAATAAAAATCTCACAGGATAAAATTAAAAATAAACATTAATGAAAATTTTTCACTAATAAAGAAAAAAATGTTAATGAAGTGATTTTCTTTGAATGGGAAGTTCTCATAATTGGCTTTGAAGTAAAAATAAATGAAAAATATATTTTGACATAGTTTTTATTTCTGTATAAAAATTAATTCAGAAAGCTGTGATAAATCCTAAAAGTTATATGTGCCAAAATATATAATTAACACAGTAATACCCGATAATTACAGTAATACCCGAAATATTATCAGAAATGTCAAAACCTAAATTTCCAAATATTTATGATTATTAATTATAAAAAGAAACAATTATAATAAACTGAATAGTTATGAAAGGAAACGATACAGAATCATTTGTGTAGATATTTTTATTAATAATAATAATAATAGTAATTCATTAAAAAACATTATCTGTACACATTTAAGAATAATTTTATTCATCTTCAATTTTACGAGTTACAAATTGTCTTTTCATTTCAAATGTAACAATACCAACAGCTACACCAACATTTAAGCTATCAACGCCATTAGTCAATGGTATATTAACACGAGTGCAATTTCTTGAACGTAATAATTTACATGATTCGAGACTTATACCCTCGGTTTCTCCACCAATAACAAATACTATTTCTCTTTCTGTAAAATCTAATGCATAATAAGGTTTAACTGGAAGTTGAGATATTAACTGTTTTACTAGCAATTTAGTTTTTGCAGTTGATTTATATGTTTTAGTTTGATCTATCAGTTCGTTTATCATATTATCTTCAATTTGTTCATTATCTGCATCTTGTTTCACATAATTATCATTAACTTTGATAGAAGAGCCTTCATTTGTGTCTGGGTTCATTTTAAAATCTGTCGAAACATTTTCATACGCTATATTGTTGTCTGCTAGAAAAATTGCAGATTCGTCACTTATTAACGTTGGAATTTCATCCCATGAAATAGATGTAGATATTGGTAAGCGAAAATGTGCACCTATAGCACTGCGCAAAACTTTGGGCTCCCATAAATCCACACATCCTAAAGTACAAAAATTTAAATTAATGAAAATTATATTACGGAATAAGTCAATTGGTAATAATGCTAATAATGTAAAATACCTTTCATTAATAATAATTTTTCACAACCAACAGCAGCAGCTGCTCTTACAATAGTTCCCAAATTTCCTGGTTCTCTTATATTGTCACAGATAATAGTTAAAGGTACAGCATTCTCAGCAGGTTCTTTAGTGCTTACATCTGGGATGTCGAAAATTCCTGTACCAAAAAATAATACAAAAATTATATAGATATAATTAAATGTGTATACTTTGATAGATTATTGTTTTGCTAATTATTAGTAATCTCCTTCGAGATCTATATGAAATTATATTTACCAATTATTCCAGGAGAAGTTGTTAAATTAGACCACAACTGAATTGTACGATATGGAATTTTATATAGTTTCACTTCCTTCGGAAGTGACAGTGGCAATATGTCGGATAACCTACTGAAAAATATTACTTTTGGTACTATTCCTGCCTGAATTGCATCTTCAATTAATCGAGAGCCTTCTAATAGCATTTCACGATTCTTTTCTCTTCTCTTTTTTGTCTTAACATCTATCATTAATGAGCTGAAACGTAAAATACGTACGTATTGTTTATAAAACTATACTTTTTAGAAGTCGTTTGAGCATTATTCGGAAAATTATATACCTTATGAGTTTATCATCTGCGTCAAGGCATATATATTTTGATTTTGTAGTAGTACTTTCTTCAATTTCATTTTCTTTTTCCTTCTTTTTTTCTTCCTTTTCAGCTGTATTAATTCTTAATTTCCTTCTACGTGTTCTAAGAGTTCGTTGCTCCTCAGTTGTATCATCAGTATCAAAAAGTTCATTTTGATTGACAATAGCAACAGGTCTTCGACTAATCCATTTAGTACCATATTTACATTTCGTTGTTGATCTTAAATTGACTGTTCTTAAAAGTTTCGTACCGTGAATCGATCTCAATGATAACTGTACTACACTTAACAACATTCTTATTTTGAATAATCCAAATATCGTGTACTATCGTTCATTGATATATTTACTTTAATAATCACTATATTATAATAATGTTTTATGTTAATTTTTTTTTATCGACACACAATGGTCTACCTTAATCACGTTGTTAATTCAAGATATCACAAATCTAAATAATAAATAAAAACCGCATGTTCTCACATATACATCCAGTACCACGAAGTATTGAATAATAAGAAGGAGATCAGATCAAACTTAAGTTAAGCCTCAAAAATGGGCTCGAAACATGAAAACTTAGGAAAATCAGGATGATACGATTTGAGTGCTATTGCGGCAAAAGCTAGAAGTATGTATCACGTGACACTGACGAGATACTATTAAAGACGGTCGATTCTTATGGAAGTTTGCATGACTATCAAAATTTAAGTAATTAAGATTAAGAAATTGATAATACAGTACTAACTTCACGTTTTATTAGTTTTTCAGACATGTATATATGTTTAAAACTTAATAATACTCCATTTTTATTTCAAACTGTAATTTTAATGTTATCATCCGAGTTTGATTATCAATAGAGATGATAACTGCAGAGAAAAAATTGTAATTTTTCGGTAATATATAAGATATTACAGCATTAAAAGTATGCGTATTTATACAACATTTATGTAATAAAAATGACAAATTTAGTAATTTTATTATCAAAATTTTTATAATTTAATAAGAGCAAATTTTAATTAATCGTCGATAACGTTCTTCAATTATTTCTAAGCTCCCGCGGGGTTCCATCGAATGGTCATTTTCCCAGAACTAATCGCCTTTAATAATTAAAATATCTCGTCAGTGCTGATATTCATAGATCGGTATTCATCAGATCTTATATTCAAGATCATCTTAAGTACAGTCTTAAGAAATCATAAACCAATCAAAGAGCCGTATATTAGCATCTTAAGACATTACTTAGCGGAATCTACAATAGAAGTCGTAGTAGTCTTAAGTCGTAGAAAATTAACCAATCACAATCGAATATGAGAAGAATAATCGACTATGATTAGTTAATTTTCTTATCGATTTAAGACCCTACAACCGCTGTGACTTTTACTGTAGATCCTGTATAAGACGGTCTTAAAATAAGAACCGATTACGAATATCAGGGCCTATATCTTATGGCCTAAGATATATGAACAATGGGTGAATTCAAGATGGCAAAACGACTAGGTTTGTCAAGAGAATGAACATGATTGTTTCTTATTTGTGGATCCAACTAATCATGTTTAATTATTTGACAATCAGATCGTTTTACCGATTTGAATTTGTTCAATAATCGCGTCCAAGCCGGACAAAAAATTTTAACCTAGCTAGCCTGTTCGCCGAGCAATTGAATGTGATTGATTAAATTTATAAGTTACAACCAATCATATTCATTCGACAAACAGGCTAGCCGCTTTGTCGACTTGAATGCGTCCATTGGTTGCGTTTAAAAAAAAAACTAGTCATCAGTAAGCGCGCTTTTAGTTGTTCTTTAACATGATTGGTTCGCACACTTACTATATATTCAGTGAGAAATTAAAGGTAAGAACAAATTATCAATTAAAAAATTTCTAAAAAAAAATAAATAAATAAATGCTAAATCGTTTATTTTATACACCTTGTATAATATAAGTAGATTGTTAGATACATCCCAGCAAACGAGAATGGATTGAAATGAATTGAAATGGATTCAGATTTTCAGAAATATTGATTGATGAATGTTAAAATAAATGCTTTTCAATCCCGAATGCATTTTTATTCATTTATAGGAATTACATGGAGCATATCTCTATACCTTTCAATCTAAAAATAATATTAGCTTTTTCTGTGCATTGTAAATACTGTTCAATTAAAAATTTTGAATAGGAAATACAGTTTTTCAATCCAATTGTATCCAATTGAATTTAATTGAATCCAATTAAATAAAAAAAAAAAGTATTTGTTATTTAAAATACGCATTCGGATAGAAAAAAAATTTCAATCCATTTTAATCCATTCTCGTTTGCTAGAATTTAGATTGACCATGTTATTTACGTATTCTAATTTATATTCTTTATTTACTTGTTAGATGATAATTTTATACTTTGATAAATAATTTTTATTCTTGATAATATATAATGACTATAATAATAGTAAAATACATTGTACATTTTACAAGGATTTAAATTTTCATTATTTTAATTTCAAGATCGTTGCAAAACATTAAATGCAGAATAAGATGTCTTGAGAATCTAGAAAATAAAGTAATATAATAATATAATTATTTGCTAAATTAAATAATACGAAAGAAAAACATTCGTCTTATTATTAGTATTGACATTAGCATAAGAGTCCAATGATAATGTTACTAAAAAACTACTAGTGAATTTTATAGGTCTTATGCTACGTTTCATAATCATCAATAAATCTTTTCGTTCACTGATTGTCATTAGTATCCAATCTATTTGACATGCTGCTTCACTCAGTCCAGTACTCTGAATAAAACGATTAATAATTAAGTCCAAATAGCATAGCAGCACTTGTAAAGCGCTAAAAAAAGCGATTATATGCGTTTTAGCGCTTTGTTAACGCTTTGTCAGCACTGTGTGCTACTTGGAAGTTATCACGAAAAATAATATATGTGTATAATTGTAAAACAAATGCAACACGCAATACATAACGTATAATACATTTTTCTATAACTATGTTTAGTCTATATGTTTCTTTATTATATAAAGAAAGTTATTATTACCTTAAGTATTACTTCATTTCCAGCCCAACAATATACAAAAATCTGTACGAACATGCAAAATGTGAAAATAGTTAACTTCATGAAGTCTATCACCGTTAGATGAGAAGATAAATAATATACACTTGAATATAATATTAATATGCTGGCAAAAAATTGTACGAAGAGTATTTCGCTGAATATTTCATTAACCATTTCAGCAAATCTATAAATATATGCTTATATGCTTATTATATAACTATATAATTACAGACATTATATAAACTATATTAATTCTAGAAATGTACATGTGTGTATAACATCAGTTTAAAAAATACATATATATTATACACATCATGATTTTTTCAACTGCTTGACAAACCTAATTATACGCAGATGATAATAGACATGCTCTGATAATCTGTTTCTATTTGGCACGTTAGTCAATAAATTACAAACTTCTTTCTTCTCATCGGGTTCTACCATTCTTTGAAGACGATGCGTAAAAAATTCAAGTTGTGCACACATTTGTAAACAAAATCCTAATAACAAGATTTCCGTAGCGATGTTTACAAATGTACCAAAAATCAAAGCTAACATTTCATGAAGAGATGTAAGCCAGAATAAAAGAATTGGTGTATAATCATATGGTATCCATATCCTATAAGGTAAGATGCCTTGTAAAGCGGTAAGCACTTCTCCTATTATAGCACCAGTAGCAGAAAACAATGCCAAAATCGTATAACTTGGTGTATGATCTGTAAGCAGAATTCTAAACATATATT